GCTAGGAGAGGGAATTGTTAATCCACCAGTAAAATTGACTACTTGATCAGGAACTAATATCTGCAGAGCCATTGGCTTCTACTCACCAAATGCAGAATGCTGAACTCCCAGGACAGGTAGACTGCAAACAGCCATACAAGCACTACAGCTTTTATTAAATTCATTTGAAAGTGAACATCTTTCTGTATAATTAGCAACATTTTATAGTAACAAATGAAACCAAAATGTTCAAAAGCTGCCTCTCAATAATGTCTGCTGGCATAACTGTATCTATGCCAGAGGCTTAGGGCTCTGCTAGTTTATCTGTGTGAAGTAAACACTGTAAAATGCACTTGCAAGTGATGAATGGTAACAATTACCACAACTGTGCAGCTGCAGACCAACTTTTGGCCTCCTCAAGGTTTCTCTCCTCAAAGCGAGGCTAACATAAGCCACCTAGGCTAACCTGGGTGAGACTTGAAAAGCAATGTTCCAGTTTGTAGTGTTATTTGTCCTAGCCCAGTACTTCCCATATTCCTAGAAGAAAAATATAACAGTATAAGAAACTTTGTATAACTTCACTGAAATTAATTCTAATGCAGATTCGCTAGAAGGTTTCAATGCTTTAAGACCAAGTAAAGCAATAAGGTTCTACCTGTATTATTCTCTTCACTATTGTTTTTTTCAAAATGGCTGGTAATTATCCTGAAGGGAGAAAGAACACTTCCCGGTATTAACAGTGTGTGAAAACTTGTAAGCCAGTGGTTTTGAGATGCAGTAGTTACCTTGCAAAGTCACACCCTGATTATTTCATTGTAACTCATCTGTGCTGTTATGCCAAAAAATAAAAGTGTATGTTCAGGAGACAGCATGAGACAGCTGGGATGGAATGTTATTTTGAGCTATTTTCTCACACAAAAATAGTTCCTTACTGCACATTCTTATAGGGTACCTGCAAGTTGTGAGGGCAAATTTCAATGGAAAAACATTATTATCTCCTACATCCTGTGATTCTGGTAAATAAATAAGGCTATGGAAAGTAACTCTTTTATTGGCAAATATGTAGAAGAGAGGTGGTAAAGAACAAGCTCTGCAGAGGACTTTTCATCAAGAAGAATAAAGGCATAATACTGCTGCAAATAATTTTGGACATGAGTGCACAGATTTTAATTCTTAGGTCAACAGAAAAAAAACACAAAGGAAGAATAAGCAACAAACTGTGTGTTTCTATTGCTGCTGCTGTTTCTTTAGTTTATGTAAAGGATATTTCCAAACCCCCTGTGGGAGGAGAAGCATAGAGATAGTGCTGAAGGTAGTCTTGTCCTGATAAATTGCAGCTGTGTTGATTACCATGGAATGGCAACAGCCTTGTCCTCACAGCTGTGTCCAATAAGGATGGGAGTTATGGAAGAGTGGGTTAGTTGGTCAGGAGTTGGAGTCAGTTGGCCATGCTGTGAGGAGGATCAAGTGTGTTGGATGCCATAGCAGGGCTGAAATGTGTGCTGAGAGTTTGTCTACCACCCCAGTCCTGCTTTAGGATTTATCTGTAGCATGGATTTTTGGGGATACTGTTTCAAAACGGTGCTTCCAGTTCCAAAACTGATCTGTTAGACTCTTCTAATTTGGCTTCAAGCATTTGATCTTGCTCAGTCTGAGTCTATGCCAAAACCAAAGAATCCCACCTGGCCTGTAACTCTGAGTTATTAAAAGGTTCAGTGCCCATCTAGGTATCAGCTCCCACGGCAAGAAAGGGGTCTTGCTGTGAGCATTGTGCAACTATGGCAACTCTCACATCCAATTACCATTTTCCTATAACCAACAGCTCACCTGGATAAATGTATCAGAAGCTTTGCTGGTCTACATTTCCTGTGGCTTACCTGGAGCATCAGCTCTGGGTGCCAAATTGGGGTCCAGACCCTTTCTGTGGCTTCCCTTGCTGCTCTCTAGTCCTGCAGAGCTCTGTTCCCCCTGTCCATTGCCCAATGGGTTTGTTACACACACATCGAGGTCACCAGATGTCATTGCTGGAGCAGATACAACACAAAACATATCCTTAAAAAACTTCATCCTAGTCTTTTTATTGTACCCATACCTAGCATCTTTAAACACTTTTGATTCCATAGTGCACTTCATCTTATTGGCCATCATCATACTACCTTTAAAGTCCATCAGTGGAAGCACTGTTTTGAGACAGCATCCTCAAAAATCCATGCTACAGATAAATCCTAAAGCAGGACTGGGGTAGCAGACCATCTCAGCCCAACTACAGCATCCAACACACTTGGTCCTCCTCACAGCATGGCCAACTGACTCCAACTCCTCCTTGACCAACTAACCCTA